GATAAAGTTAATGGGTAACATGGAAGTGTTTATTAATTGCTAATAAGCTGTAGTGTATGTAAACAAACATATTTCATAACTGTAATATAAGAGCATATTAACAAGCACAAGAAATTGCTGATTGGTTGCATTGATCATCATCAATGCAACCAATCAGCAATTTCTAGTAACATTTAATTACCCATCAGTTTGTAACATCTTCTCAAGTACAAATTTTAACTTTATTGCAATAATATTGGCAGAGATCTAGCTGTCGCATTTTTAAATCTTTCACTATCTAATCCATTAAATTGTTTAAATACATTATATCATTATATATATCTAACTTTATATTTAGTGATATAAATCATTAAAATCATTGCTTATAATTACAATTAAATTTAATTATATCATTGAGCCTATATAGATCTAACAATAGTCAAGATTAAAAAATTCATAATTTAAAAAAAACCATAAAAGTATTATTGTATTAGAATTATTGATAATTATATTAATGTTTTTAGAAAAAAATATAAATTATTTTAGAGTTTATTATGCAAAATATTTTTCTTGTTTATAGAAGATACTTTATGTAGTATTTAAGAATTTTTGTGTGCGGTATTTTCAAACGAAACATTTTATTAATTATAAATTTATGAATAATCTTTGTGTCACAGATTGAAAGTTTACAAAAACTTGTCTTCTCAAATTTATATGAGCATGAAGATGAATTGATGTGGAAAGTCAATATCATAGCAATATTGAAAGATTTAATCCTTGAAAAAAAATTGAACAGTCTTTATCCTATTAAAGGAACTTTCTATGGAGATGTTCTGGTGATTCATGGAATAGCAAATTATGTATTGTATGTTATTAAATTTCAATAATTACTATGAAATAATAAAATTTAACTTAAATATAATAATATGAAATTTTTCATTTTTAGACAGGAGGACTATGAACAACTTAGAAAACAATTTCCCAATGTTAAAATCTTCTTCTTAGAAAACTGTGCTCATTGGATTCATTTAGATAAAACAGAAAAGATGTTAGAAATAATAATTCAGCACCTGTTGAAAAATTAATTTATGCTTATTTTTGTAAATATATTATTGAATAGTTAATAAATAGATAAACACTTGTAGTTGTTTCAATTAAATCCTATATGTTTTAAATACAATTTAATACCGTTATTGTAATTATAACATTTATATTTCTTATAACCTTTACTATTTAGTTAATCTTCCTTTTATAATTAACTAAAACTAATAATTTACAGAAATCAAAAGATTTTATCTCAGATTAATGTTTTTGGTTTTGGAATCTACAGTTCCACTTTTTTATATCTATTGTAATCTGATAAATATTGATACTAAATAAAGATTGCACAACTGAAAACAGAATTGTAGATTCTGAAAATGGAAATCCAAGATAAAATCTATATTCTGACTTCTATAAAGTGTAAAGTGTTATTTTAGTTAATTATGAACAATGGAGTTGTATAAGCTACATAAAGTTTATAATTACTGTTTTCATTTAATTTCATAGATAAAACTCTGAAAATATGTCTGGCAGACTTTATTGTTTACCAATTGAATGAGTGTACTTCATGTAAATTATCTGTTATAAAATAAACATAAAAATTCAAATTTTTGTATTCAAAATATTTATTTTAATGCTTTGTTATTTTTCAAAAGCAGATTGAAATGTTAACCTTTCCTGAACAAAGGTAGACATATTTTCAATTCTTTAATATCCACAAAGAAGTGATGTAGTGCCATTGAAGATATGGAAGCCATCTTCACCTTGTATTAGATACTGATTCATTATTAATCTGATATTCTTGTTAATATTACCTGCCCACATTCCACAGATTTGTTAAGAAAACTCTAGTAAGATTATAATTTAATAGTTCTACTAAGTAAGTTGCCATTTGGCTGCATATTTTGAAAGCATACCTATTACCTAAAAATAGGATCATACATCCATGAATAAAACTAGCTACTGGTATATCAAAATTCTCAAAATTCCTTAGCGAGTGAACAATAAATGATTAAGTCGTTTTACATTTAAATATAAATCTGAACATGGAAAACCATACACTGAGGAAGCTAGCATTTGTTACAAAAAAAACAGCATTTATCAGAATTTCAAGAAAAAGAAACTGATTCAAACAGTAGTAGTAAGAAATTACAAGTACAGAATTAGACGCAAGTAAAAATAAAATGTTAGATAACATCAACATTTTCAGTCTCTGAACTACTTCATAGCCATCTTGCCCTGATCATTATACTCGCATCAGAATGCTTATAAATTCAGATAAAACAAAATTTTCTTAGGACTCCCTGTGGTCTAAATTGGCATAATAATTTTTTTAATATTAAATATATGCATTACTGGTTTTATTCAAATAATAACCATTCTCTAATAGTAATTATATCTTGTCCTTAATACTTGAAATATTGTAATAACTGCTCTCAAATAGCAGCTGCAGCTACTATTCAAGAATTTCTAAAAACTTAGCAAAACAATGTAAAATTAATAATGTAAACAACAGTGGGTGGGTACCATATTTATTTAACAAATAAACTTTAATAGAAAACGAAATATATAAAATGTATAAAAACATAGGTATAGTTTTTAATTACCACTATTTTCCTATTTTTGATATATGAAAAGTTACTTTTCATATTCATTATAAAGAAATATATCAATTGCATTTCAAGTGTAAAGGTCTTCCATTAATTAAGTGTACAATTTAAGGGAGGAAGTAGTACAATGTGAAAAGTACAATACATCATTATGCTTGTATATGAGAAGGAAAAGGGTTCAGGCATCATCTAAGTGGACTTTTTAGTGGCATACAAATTTGTTCTTATAAGCCTACTTACAAATCATGTGAATAAACTATAAACTATCTTGTAATTATTTGCAAAATTTTTATTCATTTCTTCAAAACCAGGGAGTTCATGAAATAATGTTCACATAATTAAAGGGAAAGATGGTTTGTTAAAAGTACATTATTGATACACAATATGGAAAGGGAGAAAAGTAGATAAAAAATTAACCTTTATTAATAATTGATATTAAATGATAATCTTTGTGTCACAGATTGAAAGTTTACAAAAACTTGTCTTCTCAAATTTATATGAACATGAAGATGAATTGATGTGGAAAGTCAATATCATAGCAATATTGAAAGATTTAATCCTTGAAAAAAAATTGAACAGTCTTTATCCTATTAAAGGAACTTTCTATGGAGATGTTCTGGTGATTCATGGAATAGCAAATTATGTATTGTATGTTATTAAATTTCAATAATTACTATGAAATAATAAAATTTAACTTAAATATAATAATATGAAATTTTTCATTTTTAGACAGGAGGACTATGAACAACTTAGAAAACAATTTCCCAATGTTAAAATCTTCTTCTTAGAAAACTGTGCTCATTGGATTCATTTAGATAAAACAGAAAAGATGTTAGAAATAATAATTCAGCACCTGTTGAAAAATTAATTTATGCTTATTTTTGTAAATATATTATTGAATAGTTAATAAATAGATAAACACTTGTAGTTGATTCAATTAAATCCTATATGTTTTAAATACAATTTAATACCGTTATTGTAATTATAGCATTTATATTTCTTATAACCTTTACTATTTAGTTAATCTTCCTTTTATAATTAACTAAAACTAATAATTTACAGAAATCAAAAGATTTTATCTCAGATTAATGTTTTTGGTTTTGGAATCTACAGTTCCACTTTTTTATATCTATTGTAATCTGATAAATNAGTAAAACGGGTTTTCCCCTTGCTATGGATGTCTGCCTAGTTCAGTTCAGCCACATTCCGCTACAGTTCGCCTTTATTATCGGTTCGAAATGGGGAGGTTCCATAATACTTGCAGTGTTCCATAATACCACCTTCTCCTCTACAATTTCTTTGGCTACTGTTTTCATTTGAGTTCAGTATAACATCGAAACTCTCATTTGATAATTTATATTTCTTTTAATACTTAAAGGAAAAAAAATAATTAAATGTTTATATTTCAGCCATGGTTGATGAAAGGATTAATTCTACTGGATGCGTCTCCTGTACGATATCGAGATGAGGAAGAAAAACACGGATTTCTTTTTCTATCCCAAATGAAAGATTTCATCGATTTGCTTCCTTCCCATCTTAAATCTCGTGATAAAAAACTTATATTTGAAAATTATGTAAGGAAAAGCATTAAGGTATCAAATCTTTTCACCCCCCTAAATGCTATCTATTTAAAAATATAGTCCACTGTGAAGGATCACACCGTGTAATCACTAAGATATCTTTTGTAACTGATGAATAATCTAATCCATAAGCATACAAATATCTTTTTTCTTAGTATTTAACAGTAGAGTTAAATACTAAGGTACAGTTACACACACAAAACTTATATGGAGCAACCAAATATTACAAAAAGAATATATATATATATTGGAATATTATTAATTTAAAGAAATATGATTTTTTGGAAACTTCTATTTTGTTTCTCACCCCTGGAAAAGAGGTTTTCTTTCAAATCCATTAGTTTAGAAAAGTCAAGAAATTCTAAATAATATGAAATTACCAGCTCATATATAGCTTATGAGATGGCATTATAAAATAATTTTCCATCTAATTTTCTGAAAATATTCAAATAAATCTTTGTAAATAGTATCAATATATTAAAAATTAATAATAGAAAAATATTACTAAACTTTTGAATCAAAACATTCATTGACATTGGAAATAATAATGCTGTGTGATCAATTCATTAACATCTATAAGGAATATGTCCATTTTTTAGATTATTTCATTGTTTATTTGAATATATAATAATATATTTAAAATTTTTAAATAAATTAGATTTAATAATTATATAGGAAAATTCAGTAAGCATTGCAGGATCTTCCAGACTGAATGCTATCATTTTAAATTACTAAGTAAATATTATCTGAGAATTATGCAACATACACTAATGTATTGATTAAGTGTCCAAGTTTCATCTTCATATGCATTAGAACAACTGGATGTCTACTATCTCTAGAAGCACATTAACAAAAACCACAGCAGAAAAGGCATTTTGTGTTCCAAAATTCATAAAATTGGAATTCCATAAATGGAAGTGTGACTCAAATAATCCGAAGAAGCTCTAGAATTGTAGCAGCTGTGGGTGAAGTGACAACGGGTATGCTGTAGCAATTGTAGAAAGAATTTGAGTATAAATTGGATGTGTCTCGTGCGACAGGAAATGCATAAGTTGAGAAATTGTAATGGGAAAATGTGAAACTTGGATAGTTTTCCAATGTTTTCATGTACATTACAATGCTCTTTAATAATAATTGACATTGTTATCATTTTAAATAATTATAATATTCTTTTTAGAAGTTTTTTATATTTATAGTAAATTTATGGCTGTCATCACGTTCTGTTTTATTTATTTCATTAAAAGGAGTGTTTCTAGAAAATTAAGAATGATAATGCCTTTAAACTAAAATTCTAAGCATATTATCTATAAAAATCTCTAAATTTAAAAATGATGATCATAAAAATAGATTGAACTTAAAAGATATTAGAATTTCTAACTACAGATTTGTGTAAGTGAGCTTTTCCAAGTTAGAAGTTATTCCTTCATCTTTTTCGAGTACATACTGAATATAAACAGTTTTAACATCCTGTAATGGACATAAAAAATTATGCATTACTTTAGCTTGAAACTATCGGAGATCCTCCCACATCTACTTATAAAGTTAATGGGTAACATGGAAGTGTTTATTAATTGCTAATAAGCTGTAGTGTATGTAAACAAACATATTTCATAACTGTAATATAAGAGCATATTAACAAGCACAAGAAATTGCTGATTGGTTGCATTGATGATGATCAATGCAATCAATCAGCAATTTCTAGTAACATTTAATTACCCATCAGTTTGTAACATCTTCTCAAGTACAAATTTTAACTTTATTGCAATAATATTGGTAGAGATCTAACTGTCGCATTTTTAAATCTTTCACTATCTAATCCATTAAATTGTTTAAATACATTATATCATTATATATATCTAACTTTATATTTAGTGATATAAATCATTAAAATCATTGCTTATAGTTACAATTAAATTTAATTATATCATTGAGCTTATATAGATCTAACAATAGTCAAGATTAAAAAATTCATAATTTAAAAAAACCCATAAAAGTATTATTGTATTAGAATTATTGCCG